GAAAGCGAAATTGCTGGTAAAATAGTTGTCTACAGAAAAAAAATCTTTATATTTTACTATTACATTTTGTTATTTTCCTTGGTTTTTTTTTTTTCGTTTATCACGGATTTCCTCAGATATTAAGAAAACCGCTTGAAAAATCAAAAAATGTCCTTGCTAAATTACTATGGAGATAAAATTTCTTTTCAGAAAATAAGCTATACTTGATACACCGAAGCTATATATTTTGAAGGAAAGTGCGCACAACAATTAGAGGGGTATTTTGCGATTGAAATAGTTCGAGGGAACGATGGCTTGGATCACCTGGTACATCGAAAATTAATTTTTTTTCCTTGTTAGAAAAAAAAACAATTGTTTAACTCGGATGACAAAAGGCATAAATAATCATTAGATCATAACACATATGCTTTTAAATAAGACAATAAAGAGTTATTTAACATAACCTGTAATATCCGCATAATCTATGAAATTGAAAAAGCTATAATTTAGGAACTAAGTCAGCTTCTTAATTTTGACTTAACCATATCTCTTCAAATGATAATATAAAAATGTACAAAATAAAAAAAATTCTGAAAAACTAGATTTGTCCATATAATTTTTTACTCAAAGATTTTCGTCAAAATTTGATATCAAAATTCTATTATAAAAAAAATACTTCATTCAAATCAATTATTTTTGACTACAAAGTAAGACTCTTAACTATCCTCCTGTTAAATTTTAAATCATTATTGTTCGAATCAAACCATTTTACCGCAAAGTACCTACCGAATGAACATTACATAAAAAAACTCTAATAATTAAATGTCTATCAATACCTTAAAAATAACTTAAATATTTTGAAAATTTGACCACGTTTAGAAAATGCAAATTTAAGTTTTTTGTCTCAAAAACAAGTCTCTATGAATATGTTTAACTGAATTACAACAAATCACAAAGTTTATAACAAAATAAAAGCATTAATTTCGTACATCTCTCGTTTTTCTTACGTTTTATCTTGGTTTTTCCCAGATATCATAAAAACCGCTTGAAAAATAAAAAATAAAACCTCTAAATAGTACCATCTGGAAAACATTCCCTTTCAAAAATCGTTCCGCGAGTATATATCTGAGCAATATTTTTGCTAGAATTTTTGTTCACAGGACAAAAAATATTTATATTGTTTGTAATAATATATATTCTCTATGTTTACAAAAACATTAAATAAGAATAACTAACACTGAACGAGTTTTATCCGGAGAGAATTTCGAAGAAGTCTAAATTTGAATTACAATAACAAATATATATAGGACGTTTTTAAATTTTTTTTTCACCAAAGTACTTTTTTAAAAAAATAGCTTAGAAGATTGAAGTGTCTTCATTAAAGTACAATCTAGATAACTTGAGCTTTCACTAAAATTGCTACACGTAAAAATCGGATCAAGTTTACCAGGAAAAATGTGTCCGCAGACTAGAACAAAGAAAAAGAAATAATGAAATTAACTACATTGTAAAACCAATAAATCTACGCTGGGAATCTAAAATATGTGATAATATACCAACTGCTATATATAATTTGATAAGATCAAACGATCAAAGTCAATATGCCTCGCTATGACAAACTCCAATCACGAAGAAAATGGTTACGTTTATATATTTAAATATTTAATATATATTTTACGTCGTGGTCCTGGAATTGTTGGTGCTTAAGTAATAGAAAAAAGACTTCCATTTAAAATATATTTTTTGTATNCAGAAGAACTAATTTTTGGCCACGAATAATTTATCAAATAGAGTTGATTTTTCTTAGAATTATAATCTATAATATATTAAAAAGATGGTGTTATATCACATATGTTAATATTATAACTAGAGTTGGAAACGCTTTAAGAAATCCGAATCGTCGATTGATAAATAGGAAATCGTAAGAAAAATTAAACACTAATCCAATTCAGGTTGGAAACGGATAGACTATATGAAATATTTAATATATTACTTACGTCGTGGTCCTTGAATTGCTGGTGGTGGGGTATAGAAAAAAACAATTTCAATTAAAATAATTTTTTTTTTGTATTGCAAATATCATCACTATTAATGGCCGGCAATACAGTAAACATTCATTAAAGCATTTTAATTATCTCAAAAATGTTTTGTAGCTGAAAGTATATTTATCGGGTATTCCAATAAATTGAGCACAAACACTATCTCAGAATAAGTCGATTTTTTCTTAGTGTTATTTTCTATTACCTTTTAAAAAGATGATGTTATGACACTTATGGTAATTTTATAATTATAGTTGAAAACGATTACAGAAATCCGAATCGTCGATCGATAAATTGGAACCCGTAAGAATAATAAAACTTTAATTTAATTGTATTTCAAAACGGTTAGAATTTTTGAAAATATTATTATGTAACTTACATTGTGGTCCTGGAATTCCTGGTGCTTGGGCTATAAATGAAAAATATAATTTTAATTATTGTATTGTAAAGTTCATCACAAATAAAGAATGGCAATACAGTAAACATTTATTCTGGCGTTGTAAATTGCCGAATTTATTTCGTAGTAGATTGCATATCTATCAGAAGAACTAATTTTTGGCCACGAATAATTTATCAAATAGAGTTGATTTTTCTTAGAATTATAATCTATAATATATTAAAAAGATGGTGTTATATCACATATGTTAATATTATAACTAGAGTTGGAAACGCTTTAAGAAATCCGAATCGTCGATTGATAAATAGGAAATCGTAAGAAAAATTAAACACTAATCCAATTCAGGTTGGAAACGGATAGACTATATGAAATATTTAATATATTACTTACGTCGTGGTCCTTGAATTGCTGGTGGTGGGGTATAGAAAAAAACAATTCCAATTAAAATAATTTTTTTTTTGTATTGCAAATATCATCACTATTAATGGCCGGCAATACAGTAAACATTCATTAAAGCATTATAAAAATCTCAAAAAAGTTTTGTAGCTGAAAATATATCTATCGGGTATTCCAATATATCGAGCACAAACATTATCTCAGAAAAAGTAGATTTTTTTCTTTGTGTTAATTTCTATTACATTTTAAAAAGATGATGTTATGACACTTATGGTAATATTATAATTATAGTTGAAAACGATTACAGAAATCCGAATCGTCGATCGATAAATTGGAACTCGTAAGAATAATAAAACCTTACCTTAGTTTCAGTTAAGAACGGTTAGAATATTTGAAAATATTATTATGTAACTTACATTGTGGTCCCGGTGCTTGGGCTAAAAATAAAAATATCATTTTAAATATTGTATTGTAAAATTCATTACAAATTAAGAATGGCAAGACGGTAAACATTCATTCTGGCGTTATAAATTGCCGAATATTGTTTCGTAGCAAATCAAATATCTATCCGATGAACAAGTTTTTGGGCATAATTATTATTTCAAATAAATATAATTTTTTTTTTTAGTTTTTAATACAATAACGTTTTAAAAAGATGGTGTTATATCACATATGTTAATATTATAACTAGAGTTCGAAACGTTTTCAGAAATCCGAATCGTCGATCGATAAATAGGATATCGTAGGAAAAATTAAACCCTAATACAATTCAGGTTGGAAACGGATAGACCATATGA